CCCCAAAAAAAAAAGCCACAAACATCACTCAGGGCCACAGAGAGCTGAGCCCTGCCCTGCCAGCACCCTTTGGTCTGGCTTGGCTCTTGCTCCTTGCACCAGAGTGGTTTCCCAGCCCTCAGTGACCGTGGGAGGTGAGCTACACGTCAGGTAAGGACTTCAGCCCTTCCCTTGGGAGCCTGGAGCTTAACCCTTGGCCAGAGGGTTTTGCTGCTCCTTCGAGCAAAGGCAAATCTGCTGGTAGCAGGGCAAGGGAGGACAGATGGCTCAGGTGCCACCCAGACCTGCTGCTGAGATCTAGGTGGCAGAGTCCACAGGTGACAGACTGGCTTTGTCCTGCGAGTCGACACGTGCCAGCAGCCTCCTGTTTGCCCATTGCTACCAGTGAGCAGCAGGCACAGCGGGGCTGGAGCAACACAGCCAGTGAGACCCGTGTGAGTCAGCCCTTTAACAAACACCCTGTCCTGCCCCAAGAGCCCTTCTGCTGGGTCTGGGTTGTGGGAGAGACCCCAGACCCACAGCCTGGGATTTGCTCTGGGGGATCTGGCAGTTTAGGGCTGCCCACCACGTTCTCACAAGCATTTATCCTCCAGGAACCTGGGCCAAGAGTCAGGACTCAATGGGAGGGCTACCACTGATCTTTGGGGACAGTTAGGGGACGTTCAGACCAAACAATGACTCATCCTTGCCATTTTAGAAACCCACTGCCCAGCACAGAACCCCTGTGGGGGAAGCCACAGCCCCCACCCTAACACTCAAATCTTCTCCCAGCCTTACAGGGCAAAACACGAGCGTGAAGCAAACAGCAAGATTAAGTCCATTAAAGGAGGCCCGTGGTGTAATCCCCAGGAGCATCTGCCTGGCTCAGGCTGGGGATGCCTGGTGAGAATGGACCCCAGCATTGATTCCCATCTCACACCTCCTGGCCCAGTGAGCCCCTGCCCCTCTCAGCCAACAACACCGCATTTCACAGGGCTGGACCCTGCAAGGGTCACGGGAGTCCAGAGGGGGCGTCACCCAGGGGGGTGACTCTATGGCAAACAGCCACTGAGCATGGCCAGGGTGGGCTGCAGATCCTGCTGACTGCCCTGGCCATCTTTTTAAGAGGCTTTAGCTGCCACCAAGGCTGACAACCAGACACAGAGCAAAGGGGACAGACTGAGGAGGAAGTGAGCAGTGCCACAGGCAGGGCTTGGAAATATCGAATCTGGCCACCCATCCCCTAAGGATGACCCACTGCAGGCACCCACGCTGTCCCAGGGGTGGACCACAGCACCCCAACCTTCTCCACATGCCCTCCCCATAGCCACCTTGCTCTGGACCAGCAATACCAAAGACACAAAGCCAAGGGCAGGAGGAGCCTCAG